GCAGATGGAATGAGGAGGCCCTCCAGGATGTTTTCCTCCAGGCACTTAATGATATCAAAGACGAGTTGGCAGCTCGAGACCCTCCTCAATCCCTACGTGAACTTGAAGATCTCGCCACCCGGATTGACTTGAGGTTACATGAGCGAAGACACGCTAAAAGAGGTACCCCAAGGAATTCTGATCCCAATCCCACCTACAKGTTCACATCACACAACCCCATCACAGAAGGCAGAGGCGCATAAAACACAGTTGAACCCATGCAGATTGGCAGATCGAAACTCTCCCAAGAGGAAAAGGAGCGAAGAATGAAAGAAGGACTGTGCTTCTATAGTGGGGAGTCAGGTCACCTTGTTTTCTCTTGCCCTCGCAAAAATCAAAGAACCTCCAGGAGTCACATCCTGAGTCCAGCTTCAGTCAGTCACRCTCTACTACAGTTACCTGCAGATTTATCTGTGGCAGGTAAGACACGTTCAGTCAAAGTGTTCATAGACTCCAGAGCCGATACTGAATTTATTGACCAAGACTTTGCTCTTTCCCAGGGGATCCAGATTCTCCCCTCCCAAAGAAACCATCAGGTACTCGCCCTGGATGATCACCACCTAAGCAGTACCAGTTCGGAAACTGCACCCATGAAATTGTCCATCGGGGGGAACCATCATGAGAGCGTTCAATTGTTGGTCGTTCATTCACCACAACTACCAATCGTTTTAGGAGCATCTTGGTTGCAAAAACACAATCCTCATATTGAATGGGTAAATAAAGAAATTGTAGAGTGGTCTGAACAGTGCTTGGCTAATTGTTTATTAAATGCTACTTCTTTTGAGAACTCTCATGTCACTAAGGAACCAAGTCCTGATTTAAAACAAGTCCCATCTATTTATCATGATTTAMGAGAAGTGTTCAATAAAAGTAAAGCRACTTCTCTTCCTCCTCACAGGCCCTATGACTGCCCCATAGACCTCCTTCCAGGTTCTATTCCACCCCAGGGGGAAGTTGTATTCATTGTCCCAACTCGAAAGTCAAGCCATGAGGGATTATATTGAAGATTCACTTAAATCTGGTATCATACGGCCATCCTCTTCTCCTGCTGGGGCAGGTTTCTTCTTTGTAGAGAAAAAGGATGGGTCTTTGTTCCCCTGCATTGATTATCAAGGCTTAAATGAACTAACCATCAAGAACAAATACCCTCTATCCCTAATGTGTATCGCTTTTGATCTTATTCAGGGAGCTAAGATTTTTACCAAGCTAGACTTCAGAAATGCGTACCACTTGGTACGAATTAAAGAAGGAGACGAGTKGAAGACCGCGTTTAATACCCCCACTGGACATTATGAACACCTAGTCATGCCTTTTGGGCTTACTAATGCCCCGGCTGTCTTTAAAGCCCTAGTAAATGATGTCCAAGGAGATTACATTATTGTCAATGCCTTTGTTTATTTAGATGACATTCTTWTCTTTTCCAAAGATCTTGGGTCCCAGCAACATGTTCGAGCTATTCTTCTCCAACTACTCCAGAACAAACTGTTTGTCAAGGCTGAAAAATTTGAATTTCACACTAAGTCTACTACTTTCCTTGGTTTCCAGATAACCCCAGGTCAAATCTCTATGGACCCCACCAAAGTTACTGCTGTCCGAGACTGTCCCAGACCTCAAAATTTCTCGACGTCCTCCGGCGGGTCTCCTGAGACCACTCCCTATATCACCTCAGCCCTGGTCCCACATCTCCATGGACTTTGTAAC